TTGACCACTGTGCCATTAGGGATCCTAGTAGAGCTAATGAGTGAGACCAAAAAAACCAAAAGAGAAGTCTTGATAGGCAGTCAAATCATCACACTGCCTTTAAGACCTATTCCCTAGTGGTGGAAAAGCTGGGGGGTGGAAATCTAGAATGTTCTGTCTGCAGGTTTCCCTATCCTTAGTGTCTTAGTAGGAAGCTCTCTAAAAAAAACTCCAAATTCACTGCTGTTGAGTCAATCCCAACTCATAACGACCCTTCCTTGGGTTTTTGAGGCAGTATCTCTATGGAAGTAGATTGCCCAATCTTCCTTCCCAGGAGAGGCTGGTGGGTTTGAACCGCCAGCCTTCTGGTTAGCAGTCAAATGCCTTAAGCACTACATCACCAGAGCTCCCAGGAAGGCTCTGAAACCTTTATAACTTGCTAATAGATTGGCTTGTTGGGTGTTTGGACTCCAATCATCGAAGAAGGGTGTGTCTGACTCACTCTACCTTTCAGCCCATCCATTAGTACTGCCTGCCTTAAAGCTCAGTTGGACCAAAGTATCATGATTGATTAGTGATGTCTACCATGGAGGTGGGAAGGGATTGATGGTGTGTAGTGTTAGCTATTCCCATCCTAGTTTCACTGCCTTGGCAGGAAACAGCAAAAGGATGGAGACAATGTTTCATATGTCTTTCTTTTCTATAAAATGTGACTGGAGCTTGAGGGCAGGGCTGTGTCTTTCAATTCCCGGTATTCCCCTGTAGTGCCCAGGGCAGGTCTGGGCACATAGGAGGCATTGGTGTAGCCAAGCAATGGAGTGTGAATGGTTTGCTCTGTGGTCTTACCCCGGCTCTCAGTCATTCTGGGGGGTAGGGGAGGTGGCCCCAAGCTGAGGTTGTAGAGGGCCCAGCACCCTTTCTCGTCCCTCTGCAGATGGCCTCTATGAGATTGGCAGCCTCTTTCCTGTCTGGGGCATGGTGGTGATTGTGGGCACAGCCTTGGCTGCAGTGACCTTCTTTGCCACATCCAACACCGAGATCCCCAGGCTTCACTGGGTAAGAATCAGGCTCCCTATGGTGAGGGGAGGGGGAGAGAAGTCCCACCTGCACCTCGGCCGGTAATCACTTTCCCTAATGGCAGGTATATAAACATCAAAGCCACTTTGAGACTTTTTGTACCTGTTCAGAGGTCTTTTTTTTTTTTTTAAGTTATTGCAGGGATTTTTAAAAAATTTACTATTGCATTCTCTTTTTTTGTAACAGCTTTATTTTAATTGAGACAAATTTAACATCCATTTAAAGTATGAAATCCCATGTTTTTTAGTAGAATCACAGAATTGTGCAGGCTTCACAATCAGTTTTAGAGCATTTTCATCACCCCAAAAAGAAACCATGTACCTTTAGTTCACACTCCTCCATCGCCCCCAGCCCCAGGCAGCCATTGCTAACCTTCTTCCTATCTCAATGGATTTGCCTATTTTGGAAATTCCGTGTAAATGAAACCATGTAATAGGCAACCTTTCGTGACTGGCTGTTTTCACATGCATAGTATCGACAAGGTTCATCCATGTTGTAGCATGAATCAAAATTTCATTTCTTTTTATGGCTGAATAATGCCCCACTGTGTGGACGGACTACATTTTGTGTATCCATTCATCAGCTGATGGATGGATGGATTGTTTCCAGTTCTCAGCTGTCGTGGATGATGCTGCTAAGACCATTCATATGGAAGTCTGTGTGTGGACGTATGTGTTCGTTGTTCTTGGGGAGATACCTAGGAATAGAATGCTGGGTCAAATGGTAACTTTAGGTTTTAGGTTTTCTGAGGAACTGCTGGGCTATTTTCCACTGTATTACCAAGGAAGCCCCACCCTGCTTTATGGATGAGAAACCAAGGCCGAGTCCCTGTTGGGGGCTGGCTGGCCTTGGTCCCATCAGCGCACTGTTTCCTCTGCAGCTCTTTGCTTTCCTGGGCTTCCTGACCAGCGCCCTGTGGATCAACGCAACTGCCACGGAGGTGGTGAACATCTTGAGGTCCCTGGGCGTGGTCTTCCGACTGAGCAACACGGTCCTTGGGCTCACACTGCTGGCCTGGGGGAACAGCATTGGAGGTGGGAGCGCGGTGCTACATGCCCCCCGAGCCCAGACTCAGGGCTGGCTGGGGTTCTGGGCTGAGCCAGAGTTGCATGTGGGCAGGGCTGTCCAGGGCATCCCCTGAGTGTGCATTTGGGACCCACTGTCACTGGGAATCAAGTTGAGGGGGCCTGGACTGCACTTGGGATAGGAGACTGTGTAGTGGCCCTAACCTCTTTGCCACTCTCTGATGGGGGACACTTGGTGGCTCCCTAGAGTTCACTCAGGGCATAGGCCCATTGCAGACACCTGAGCTGAGCGTGTACATGGGGGTGTGCCGTGCAGGCATTCACACATGCATACATACACCCTTCCCTAGCTAGGCTGCCAGGTAAGGTTGGCCAGGTTGGACACTGCACAAGAGCCATCTGGACGGCAGGGCAGGGGCCAGCTAAAGTCCAGTCCTCCTTCTGTTCCCCTTTTTGGGTACCTTTTTCTAATTCACACAGAGGTGCTGTGTGTGCTAGTAGTAGACAAAAATTAGGGGAAAAATGGGTGGCAGAGTGTATCATGCAGCCCCCACAAGTTGCCTATGGTGGGAGGGAGTGGGTTGGAAGGAGTGAAGGAGGGCATTGTGTCTGGCAGGGTACTGGGACTGCTCCCAGCACTCAGCCAGCCAGTGCCAGGCTCAGGCCGAGTGTCCATTAACATTTGTTGACTGAATGGCCATTGGGTGAAAGGGAAAGTGTGCGTGACCGGGGGCAAGGGGATAGCCATGCTCCCTTCAAGGCCTTCTCTGGTTTCCTCACAGATGCCTTCTCAGATCTCACCCTGGCCCGCCAGGGCTACCCGCGGATGGCGTTCTCGGCCTGTTTTGGCGGCATCATCTTCAGTATCCTTTGAGGGGCTGTGGCATGGACTCTGGGAGCCGTGGGTGTTCTCTGTGTCCTACCTTTAGCATTGGCTCTCGCTGTTAACACCTCAGGCACATGACTGGCTGCTTGGTCCCCAACGTCCTCATCTGTGAAATGGGATGTTGGGAGGCCTGAGCTCCTAGACTTGTTGTAAGGATGGAATGAGGAAATGCTTGCACCTTATGGTGCCCAGGGGAAGACCCTCTCTGTGTCCCTTGCTTGTAGGGACATATTATGGTCTGCATGAGGAATTGGCAGACTTTCTGTCTAAGGACCAGAGAATAAATCTCTTTGGCTTTGAAAGCCATATAGTCTTTGTCACAGCCACTGAACTCTGCTGATGAAAGCAGCTATAGGCAATACATAAGTGGATGAGCATGGCTGTGTTCCAATAAAACTTTATTTATAAAGACAGGGAGTGGGCCAGATCTGGCTTGCAGGCTCTAGTTTGCCAACCATGGTCTATAGAGAAAATGCAGGTGCAGGCAGCCTGGAGCTGTGACACTGCTATGTCACTGCCACTTGCCCCAGTGTGACCAGGGGGACATGCCTTCCCCTCTCTGAACCTCTTAAAGATGGGCTGGGATAAGGATTGACAGTGAACACCTGGGACAGTGCCCAGCACATGGTAGCATTCAACAAGCAGTAGATACCTAGAGCGCATACCCAGGCCTGAGTCTGGCTAGAGGGCAGGTGAACACCCACACTCCCACCTCTACTTGTTAAATACAGGCAGTCCTCCAGTTACAAATGTCCGACTTACATACAACCCGTAGTTATGAACCAACCCCCTTCCTAAGTCCTGCTGTCCAGTCTATTCAACTCAGCAACCCCTTCTTGGGTTTCCGAGGCAGTATCTCTATGGAAGTAGATTGCCCAGTCTTCTTTTTGAGGAGTGGCTGATGGATTTGAACCACCAGCCTTCTGGTTAGCAGTCAAATGCCTTAGGCAGTATGCCACCAGAGCTCTCAAGGCTTATTATATTGAAAGTCTGAGGTACATACAGTGGTTCGTAATAACAGTCGGGCACTACTTTGCAGCATGCGTCAAAGCATTATTATTATTACTGTATTATTATGTTAAAGATGTATGTGGAAGTGTTTCTTTAATGCTTTTTATGCATAGAAAGGTACGTCATATTTTATATACTAAGACAAACATTTGACCCACTGACATTAGATACAAACTATACCTAATGGTTCTGACTTACATAGAAATTCAACGCATAGACACACTTAGGAACGGAACTCACTCGTAGTCTGGGGACTGCCTGTAATGTTTATTAAAAAGCACTCCAGGTACCGCTGTCCTCAGGCCCTGTGAAAGGGACTGCAGTGGAGGCAAAACACAGAGTCGGCAGGGACAGTGTGGGCCCCCCACTTTAGGTAGCCCCAGGTTGAACAGGGCCTTTGGGACACTTCTGTGCCCACAGGCCTTCTCTTGGCTTTTAGACTGTGGCCCCTGCTGACCTCTCAGGTTGTAGGTGATGAGGAGGAAACCATGCCTGGAGCACTGTCCCGATCACCTCTTTGACCTCTTAGAGAGGGCATCCACCCACACAATACCAGTGCCCCCAAAGGGCTGTGGGCAAGGCACTTACCCTTCCCTAGTCTCAGGTCTCCATGCACCGAGTGCTTCCCAGGTGCGACGTATTCCTATCCCCTCACTGGATTCTTAGGAGCTCTGGTAGCGTAGTGCCTAAGGTACTTGACTGCTAACCAGAAGGCTGGCGGTTCAAACCCACCAGCCACTCCTCAGGAGGAAGGTTGGGCAATCTACTTCCGTAGTGATACTGCCTTGGAAACCCAAGGAGGGGTCACTATGTGTCGGGGCTGTCTCGACGGCACATAACAACAACAACACTGGATTCTTAAGTAGAGTGCAAAATAAGACGCTCCACAGCCACTTTCTTAGAGGGGCTACAACAGGGTAGGGTCTCCTGCTCGGATTGTTTCTTTCTGGGGGAGGGAGAGACAAGGGGAGTAGATGGTAAAGAGAGCTGAGTTCTGGTCTGGCTGTGGCGACCCAGAGCTGAGCCCAGTAGGAAGCATTGGCCGGGTGGTTGGGGTTCCAGGGCAGGTTGTTGAGAGAAAGCGTCCTGAGCCGAGCTGCAGATATCCTCGTGGGAGTGGGACTGGGCTGCCTGCTGCAGATCTCCCGGGGCCACCCGGACGTGAAGGTGAGTGGCCAGACACTTCCGGAAGGGGCCTCGTGCCAGTGCCCCCTCCTCATCCTCTTCTGGTCCTCTGGCTACGGAGACCCTTCAGATCTCAGGACCTTACGCTTCCCGGGGAAGAGCATTGGTTTGGACTCAAGATTTGTTTGCATGTACGTTTGACAGACATGTCCTCAGGTACACCGAGTCACCAGGGAGCTGAGGGCAAAGGGACAGAAGGGCCTGGGATTTTGGTCCCAGTCCTGTTGCCTCAGTTTCTTCCTGTCTGACCTTGGTGAGTTAGGACATCTCTGAATGTCAGTTTCCTCACCTGGAAAATAGCGCAAATAGGGCTAATGGTACATGCCAAACTTCCGGGGTAAGCATGGGTGGAGCAAGGGACGAGCTGAACACTGTCCCACCACTGCCCCTATGGGGGGAACGGGATGCGAGAATGAAGGCCCGTCTGTTGAAGCCAGCCCAGAACTGTGTGCGTGTGCGTGTGCGTGTGCGTGCGTGTGTGTGTGCGTGTGCATGTGTGCTGCGGGGAAGGTTGAGAGGGTAAGAGCCAACAGATTTGGAGAAGGTCTGGAACACATTGAGTAGAGAGCTGCTCATACTTCAAGGGCACCCAACAATTTTGTGGGATACTCGAGACCCACTGATCCCAGCATTCCAAGGGGGTGGGGCTTGCGCTGCTTTTTTAATAAGCTGCAGCAGGTAGTACACGGACCCCTTGGGAAACGCCGTTCTAGGAAGGGTGGCAGGGCCAGGCAAGTCATATAAATGAGTGGGGTGGGATTCAAGTGGGTTTCCTGTGGCCTGCGATTGCAGTTTTCCTCAAGATGGAGAAACCAAGGTACATCGGTGAACGTTTCCTATTCGTAAAATACTGTTCAGGACAGACAAAACTCCATGCAAGACAGATTTGACAGTCACCGTCGTGGGACCTTTGTTCTGAGTGGCTTTAGTTTACAGACCAAAAGAAGGCTAGTGTGGGAAGGCTGGTTTTCAGCCTCAACCCAGAGCCCCGCGTAGGACCGAAAGGTAGTGCTGTTGATGGGACCTGGGTCACCCACCTGTGTCTGCCAAGGCACCTGGTTATAAACAGACCCTGCTCAGTTGACTTATAAAGTACCTGGAGGTAGGTAGGACCAGTCTTTATGGTGGCCCCGCCCACAAACAAATGCTACAGAAGGGCTTGAAAAGTTTTTGTTTTGTTTTTTTCCTCAATAGCTAGTGTTAATTTCTTAGAACTCAATTGGTAGAAATGATAGAAATGAACGCTCCTGTTGGAGGGTGCCCAGAAGCCGGAAATGAAGGTTTTGGCAGGGCCATGTTGCCCTGGAGGCTCGGGGAGGCCCCTGCCTTGCCTCTTCCAGCTGCGGGTGCCCCAGGCATTCCTTGTCTAGAGGCTACCTCACTCCAGTCCTTCCCCCTGTCCTCCCATGGCCTTCTCCTTTGTCTCTGCGCCCTCTCCCCTTCTTAGGAGGGCACCAGTCATTGGCTTTAGGGTGATCTCATCTCGAGATCTGGGAGCTCTGGTAGCATAGTGCCTAAGGCATTTGGCTGCTAACCAGAAGGCTGGCAGTTCAAACCCACCAGCCACTTCTCCGAAGGAAGGTTGCGCAATCTACTTCCATGGAGATACCACCTCAGAAACACTATAATTTGGGTCTGACTCGACGGCACATAATAACATCTTGAGATATTTAGCTAATTACATCTGCAGACCCTGTTTCCAGAGGAGGTTCTGAGATTCTGGGCAGACATGAATTTTGGGGGGATACTGTGCTACCTATTACATACATAAAAGCCTGGCAGCCTGGAATCCACCGACCGCTCCTCTCAGCTGCCAGGGATCCAGTTTTAGGGTCTGAGAACTGGTACCAGTTTCTCCCTTGTCCACAGAGCAGCTGACTCTCTGGCCCTCAGTCATTCATTTCTTCTGTCTTCCCTTCACTCATTCATCATTTAATTTACTCCCAATCTTTCCTTCCTTTCCCTCTGGTGGTACAATGGTTAAGCACTAGGTTCGTAACCCAAAGGTTGGCGGTTTGAACCTATCCGGTGGCTCTGTAGGAGAAAGACATGGTGATCTGGTTCCATAAAAGATAACAGCCAAGAAAACCCTATGGGGCAGTTCCACCGTGTCACATGGCTGAGTTGGAGGTGACTGGACGGCACCAAACAACCACAGCCCAGCAGAGAGATCAGCACAGGTTATGGAGTCAGGCCTAGGTTCCAATCCCAAGACTGTTCAGTGCCTTGGGCAAGTTAGCCAATCTCTTTGAGTCTTCGTTTTCTCATCTGTAAAATAGTTACAGTACCTACTGGACAGTTACTGTTCAATCACATGCTTATAATGGCACAGTGCTGGCATAGAGTAAGCACTAAACAAAAACCAAACTCACTGCCATCAAGTCAATCCTGACTCATAGAGGCCCCTCCTTGGGTTACTGAGGTAGTATCTCTATGGAAGTAGATTGCCCAGTCTTCTTCCAAGGAGTGACTGGTAGGTTTGAACCACCAGTCATCTGGTCACCAGTCAAATAAATGCCTTAGGCACTATGCCACCAGAGCTTCTAAGCACTAAATACATAGATATAAATGTGTATCACCACCATTTCTTCAAAGACCATATAAAGATTTCCCCAGTGTTAGGAAAATTCAAACCCAGAACTGTTGGAAGAATTATTACACAGGGAGCACCCAGAGTCCCACCACCCCAGTCCCACTAAGCTTGTAACATTGCTACATTTGCTTTATCACCTCCTTGTTCATCCACCTGGCCATTCCGCCATCTTGGTTTTGGATGCCTTTCACAGTAAGTGATGGGCATCGCTGCCTGAATGCCATTAATTTGAGTTCAGTATTAAAAACACACAAAACTGGAGCCACATCAGACTTGAGGCAGGGGAGAAGCACCCAGGCAGGTGGAACTGCCTGAAGTTGGAAGAGAAGGTTCCTTTCCCAGTTGCTTCTGAGTGTGGAAATGTCTGGGACGATGACATCTAGGTGACTTCAAGGTGGGGCAGCCATTCCCCAGGGCTGGCCCACAGCTCGGGCCAGAATCCTTGAGTGACTGGCCCCTTTGTGGGTACCCTGCAGCATTAGAGTGTGGGTGCGGTCAGTAGGGGGTGGACTGTGATGGGCGGTGACCTGGCCTCTCTCCCTTCTTGTTCTTCCCCAGCTGGAGCCGGATGGACTGCTGGTGTGGGTCTTGGCCGGTGCCCTGGGGCTCAGTCTTGTCTTCTCCCTGGTCTCGGTCCCTGTGCAGTGCTTCCAGCTGAACAGAGCCTATGGCGGCTGCCTGCTCCTCTTCTACGTCAACTTCCTCATTGTGGCCCTACTCACCGAATTCGGAGTGATTCACTTGAAAAGTGTGTGACTGCAACTCTATGGCAGAATCTGCCTGCTGACCTGGGGTGTCACTGCAGGCGGGCACCCAGCAGCCTGAGGAATCAGCCGTGGAAGCCCAAATGGGCATGCATGAAAGGATCAAGGCTTCTGTGGGGTGGCTGCCGCTGCTCTGTGCAGGGAGAACAGCCAGGTCCCTTTTACTGCCAGCACCCCACAGTGCTATTTCTGGTTTTGGACACCACTGCACAGGGACTTGGGAGCTGTGATGTAGTGCCTAAGGCATTTGACTGACTGCTAACCAGAAGGCTGGAGGTTCAAACCCACCAGGAACTCCTTGGGAAGAAGACTGGGCAATCTACTTCTGTAGAGATACCACCTTGGAAACCCAAGGAGGGGTCGCTATGGGTCAGTATTGACTCAACGGCAGTGAGTTTTTGTTTTTTTGCTCAGGGACTTTGGAGATTGGGCTCTGTTTTGCACAGAGCTGCAAAAGGAGCTAGAAGCCTTTCTGGAAGGCTCTGCAGAGCGTCTCTGGAGGTGGTTAGGGTTTGGGGTGAATGGGATGACTGGCTCCTTCTAGGCTGCTTTTGAGAGATCCTAGAAGTGTTGAAGGCCTTCCTGCAGTCATCCCCGCTGCCACCTGTCCCGCTCACTGGGCTGTAGGCCTGCTGGCATCTCCTCAGGGCTCAGGTGGCTGCCATGTTCTGGTTCAGGAAACCAAGGTGACTGTTCTCCCACTCATTAAGGTGCACCAGGTCAGGCAGGAAGCAGTGACTGAGAATGCCTCATGGTCTGGGGCACTAGGCCAATGGGCACTGAGCCTGAAACCTACACCATCCCACAGAAACAAGATGTAAGATGTAGCCATCATTCTGAATTTTCTAGAAGCCATGTTAATAATGCAGAAAGAAACAGGTGAAGTTCATGTGGAAGTATTTTATTGAACCTAATAAATCCAAGATGCCACCTTGACATGTGGCACTGGCCACAAAAGTGGATGCCATGTTGGACAGCACAGGCTTTCGGCACTCCCTCCAGACGCTGCCTCAGCTGTGGGCAGACGCCCCTGCTTGGAACTGTGGGTTTCCCTAGCTGCAAAACGGGGGTCATTACTGACTGCCTTGCACCTACCTCAGGGGGAAGCCAGGCTGGGGGCTTGAATGCCCACAGATGCAGGTGGACAGGCGAGAGTGCCTGAGCTTGCCTGCCGCAGCCCACCTCTTAAGCAAGCAGCTTCTGGTGGGCTTATGTTGGCGGTAAAGAGAAGGGACTCTTTTTTCCAAATAAAAAGGTGATTAAATCTGTTAACTACACAGAAGGCATCACACACCCAACTCTGTGGTTCTTCCTCCCTGGAGCTGCTCCCCAGGCTGGGGCCGAGACCCCATCAGGCAACTGGGGTTGGACTGGGGTGGGGGTGAGCCATGGCCAGGGATGGGACCCCTCCCCTTGCCCCACAGCTGCTGGCAGAAAGCACATGGCAGCAGGCAGATTGACAATGCAGAGGCTCTTTTATTCATAGGCCAGAAGTCTGGAGACTGGATTCTCTAGGTTGCATATTACCCACGTACAAAACCTTCCAGTGTCCCTCCCGTCCCTCCCATTATCCTTACAAAATGATTGTCTGCATGGTTTGGAGTAAGGCTGGGGATAGGGGAGGAAGGGCAGAGGGCTCCCCCAAAGCACCTTCATGGTGGCCAGGGAGGGCGCAGGTGTGACCTCCCCTTGGCTTCATTCAGCTGTGATGGGGGAGGTGAGAGGGCATCTGGGTTAGGTCATCCCAGGACCCTCAGGAGTCCACAGCACAGGGTGACATCCTGTCCCCTGATCTGTGGGCTGTATGCAAATTGGAGACTAGTAACCACCTGGACAGAGATGCAGCCTCCATCCAGGAACAGCCCCTCCTACCTGGGAGGCCCCAGCTCCACTGGGGGTGCTGGTTTGTCCCCATCCCCGGGAGGGGGCAGAAAATAGAATAGGATCCAGGTTCTCAGGGTTCAGACTTGTGTCCTTCCACAGCTGCCCCTTGGCCTCTGGGTTCCAAACGCCTGTCTCCAACAAAAAAGCTTAAAGGCACCCAGTAGTACACATTGTTTCTTCTCTGGACAGGGGAGGGTTTGGCCTGGGGCTCAATGTCAGGCTCCTGCCATAGCCCTCAGAGCCCCCCCCCCCCCAGAAGCCTGGTCTCCTGATTCCCATGGGAACCATAGGGAATCGCCTTTTGCAAAAGGCTGTAATTGAAAAACAAACCCACGCTGCCCCTGCTGAGGGGGAATAGTGCTGTGTGCAGATGGCTTGGCCCTGGGAAGGGTGGGGAGAAGGGGTGGGGGATCAAACTGCTCCCCCGGGTCAGGTCTTGCTGTGCCCTGCAACTGCGATAAGGATGTGGTGACAGGGGACCTCAGCCCACTCCACTGTTCCAAGTCTCAGGAGCAGTGGAAGCAGTCGGGGTCGGGGCCAGAATGCCCATCAGGGGCTGCTGCTTCTACCCACTCTACACCCCCTCACCTATGCCTCCTGCCAGGAGCCCAGGAGAGCCCCTATGAGGCAACCTCCTCTCAGCTAGGCTCAAGGAGGTGACCAGGGGCCTGCTCTGGCCAGTGACTGTCCTGCCCCAGGGGTTCACCTGAACCCCTTTCTGCTAATGGAGGGTTCACCTGAGCCCCTTTCTGCATCAACCAGCCCCACCTCAAAAGCCATGGGTGAGCCGAGTCCCTTCTCCTGCTGTTGGATCCTGGTGAGATGGGAGCTGACTGGCCGGCTTAGTGGGGGGCAGCTCTCCTGTCTGCAGGGGGCGTCTCTGTGCTGTCTGCTTCCCTTCCCAACAGCAGGACCTAATCATAGCGAAGGGCGATTACCTGCCTTTAGCAGGATCCTGCATTAACCCAAATGCCTACTTGCCTGAATAGGTACATGACAAGGAAAATGGATTTTGTCATGAAAGCTTATTCTGTGGGTGGGTGGGACATAACCTCTTGGCCTGCTGTCCTCCTGGCTGGGCAGAAAGGCCAGGATTCCCACCAGGGCCATTCTAGGAGAAGAGTCAGCAACAATGGTTAAAAGCAAACCAAACTTGGGAGAGAAGGCTTCCAGAACCAAGCAAAGAGCTCTGTCAGCATGGCGCGGTCTACCGCCAGCACCCAAGAACACTTAACACCATCTCCCTCGACTACTCCATTGGGCCCAGGCCTGGCCCTCCTGGGACCTCTGACTACATCATCATACACACAGAAATACACCTTCGGGGTACACCTTCTTCCTTCCTAAGTGGTTGTGTCCCTAAAGCCAGACATGGGACCCCTGAGGTGGCAGGCTGGGAGTGGTGGTACGGGGCTGCTGGCAGGGGCAGTCTGCAAGCAGCATTGAGAAGGCGAGCCTGGGTCTGGCCTGTAGAAGGCAGATCGACTTTGAAGGCCAGCCCTGCTGACACAGGAAGAATCCTTGTGAGCGGTCCTCCTGTGGAGGGCGTCTCTGAGCCCTTCCAAGGTAGGAAGTGCTCACAGTGGCCTGACCCCCGAAACGCAACTGGCTTTTGGAGTTAAACAGAACAGGGCGAGGTGGTTACCAACCAAACCCCATCTTGTCTTTTTCCTTCTACATATAAATATATGCATATATATGAATACGTGCATATATATATATATATATATACACACACACATACACACACACATATATATACACATACACACATGATCTCAGTACATCGTAGTAAAATAATACTATTGTTGCATAGAAGAAATGGCTTTCGAGAGTGGGGCCTAGGTGATGGTCTGGGAGCGCTGGCGGCTGCCTGCGGACTGCTGGGTGCCGGGGACCCCTCCGTTGCTGCTGACCTGTTGCTGCTGTTCCTCCTGCTTACGGGCATGCTCCTCGTACCACTCCTGGGCACAGAGCAGCTGAGTGAGCCGTGCCCCTCGCAGTCAGCCCTGCACCTCTCTCAGGTTGACAAGGTCACCACATTGTGGGGGTGACAGAGGCTAAGCAAGGCAAGCCTCTCAACCCACAACGGGCGGCAGGAGCACCCTGCTGGGTGTGGGGGACCGTCTAGGATGCAGCAGGCACAGCTGCTGGCCACTACCACCTGGACCCCCGACTCCCAAACCTGAGTTCCAGGTAGTTGTCCCAGTGGATGATCCCTTACCTCCCGGCCAAGCCTTCCAACTATCCCAGATGGGGACTGGCAAGCAGCCCCTGCTCTGCAGGGTGAGACCCACTCCCTGGATGGGAACAGGTGCTGAAGGCTCCTACCTGGATCTCCTCTTGGTACATCTTTAGGCTCAGGTCACTCTTGGTCCTGGATCTCCGTCCCAGAAACACCATGGAATTTTGCTAAGGAATGGCAGAGGCTGCAGGTCCTCTGGGGCCAGGGCCGAGGACCGGGCCCCTCCCACTCCTCTGGCTTTGGCATAGGGACAACCCAAAAGTGTGCCACCATTTGAGATGGTGGACGCTAGGGGAGGGATGACACCAAGCTGAAGCCCACCCAGCACTGAGGCCCCAGTAGGCTTGCCT